GTACACCACAGAGCTTGTGATGTGTACACCACAATGCTTGCGTACACCCCGTATGCCTGCGTACACCACGGCTGCTGCTGCAACGACAATCGCGTGCGCCAGAACGCCCGTGCACACCGCGCTGCCTGCGCGCACCATACTGCACGCCCGCGTGCACAACCGACCCTCGGCTGCCCGGGATCGCGCGCTGGATCGGGGCGGGGGTCTTACCGCTACAGGGGGGGGGAGAGGGGGGGTAACATGCATTACCCCTTGGGTGGATAAAAACAATGGTCTCTAGAGAGCTCCACCGTAGGCCCCCCAGCGGGAGTGTCCGCATGGCACCGCCGCCCAGTTTTGGCACGCCCCTTACACGGTTCGTGGCCCCATAGGGATCTCCACCGAAAGCCCCAGCGCGAGCTCATTTCGGCACACCCCTTCACACGGTTCGTGGCCCCATAGGGAGCTCCACCGAAGGCCCCAGCGGGAGCGTCCGCATGGCACCGCCGCCAACTTTTTGCACACCCCTCGCAAGGTTCATGGCCCCATAGGGGAGTTCCACCGAAGGCCCCAGCGGGAGAGTCCGCATGGCACAGCCGCCTCATGTTGGCACACCCCTCACACCGTTCGTGGCCCCATAGGCAGCTCCACCGAAGGCCCCAACGGGAGCGTCCGCATGGCACCGCCGCCCAGTTTCGGCACATCCCTCACACGGTTCGTGGCCCCATAGGGAGCTCCACCGAAAGCCCCAGCGGGAGCGTCCGCATGGCACCGCCGCCCAGTTTCGGCACGCCCCTCACGCGGTTCGTGGCCCCATAGGGGGCCCCGCCGAAGGCCCCAGCGGGAGCGTCCGCATGGCACCGCCGCTCCATTTCGGCGCACCCCTCACACGTTTCGTGGCCCGCATGAGGAGCTCCACCGAAGGACCTAATGGGGGCGTCCGCATGGCACCGCTGCCCCATTTCGGCGCACCCCTCACATGGTTCGTGGCCCCATAGGGAGCTCCACCGAAGGCCCTAGCAGGAGCGTCCGCATGGCACGGGCCGCGCACGGGGCTCGGGCGAAGCCAAGAAGACTCCCCGCTCGCCCGCGTCAGCTTTTCTCCCCTTCCTGCATGCCGCAGTCCTTTTTGCTGTCCCCCTCCTTCGTCTCCCATGGTTGGGCCCTCCGCCAGGCAAATCTTTTATCCAGACCGCCCACGAAACAGCAGGCTTTCCATCAAACCAGACAGCCGACCTGCCAACCAGCCAACGATCCATCTAGACAGCCATGAGGGGCAACGATAGGGGAGGACTGGCATAGGGGGGGATGCACCGACCTAGAATCGGCGATACATCGTCGATAGATCGGCGATCGGCCCCCCGATAGTGAATCTGCGCGCTCCTGGGCAGGTTGGGGCTGTCGGGCCCCTATCGGCGATCATTGGGTGATCGGGGGTCGATGCATCCCCCCCTATGCCCGTCCCCCCCTCTCGCTGCTCCCGAAGCCAACGATCCATCTCGACAGCCAACTGCGGCAAGCTCTTGTCGTGACAGAACAATTTGGTTCCTGACGCCGCGCGGACCGCTCATCCTTGAACAATCGGCAGTTTTTTCAATCGCCCGATCGTTCCATACAGTAGGAGCCCGACCACAAAGAAACCTTCCATAAGAAACCCAACCCTAAGACCCCAGGACGTCCGTTGATTTTTGGTGTGGGAACGTCACGCTTCCCATGGCAAAACCATCGAAACCCAAGAAACCCCGCGCACCCTGGAGGCGAGAAGGATGTGTCTTGGCATGGGCCCCCACTGCATTGACCAAGTCTGGGCCACTGGCGGCCTTCAGCGCACCCAGGTCGGCACGACACGGACCTACCGCAGCCGAGCTGCCAGCTCACCAATCTAGCAGCAGGTCAGCAGACCAACCCAACCAGCACAGCCATGCAGGCAACTGACGGAGGCGAGCGGCAGAGAGCGAACCCCTCCAGAACCAGCGGCTCCCGCATGCAGCGTGCGCTGTGCGGGATCCCGTGGTGCATGTGCCTGGCCAGCGCCGGCGAGTGCCTCGTGCAAACTCTCCAGGAGGCTCCTCCTTGGGCCCCCACTCCGCCAGCGGTCCCCCCGCGGCTCTGGCGGCCCGAACGACGGGATGCCCCAAGACGGCCCGAGACCGCTCCGAGACGGCTGCAAGTGTCCTCCAGTCCAGGTCCAAACGGCCCATCGACGTCCCACATAACCCAAGCTGCCCGTAAGACCCCCCAGAATCTCTCAAGAGATGCCGAAACAAAAATTCTACCGAGGCCCTGGGAGCCCTGAGATGCCAACCTAAGTCGCGGGAAAATATAAGACATGACATTCCGCGACTTTTGCGTCCGTAGGCGTTTCGACGTCAGAAACCCCTCTGGAATGCGTCAGGGACCCCACGGAACCCAAACGACGCCCCACAGAATTGCCCACGACGCCTCCAAGACGGCCGAACGACACTCCAAGACCCTCGGGCGGCCCCGAGATTCGCCCAGAATTCCGCAACAAAATACTTAAACCAAGCCTCATCCTGGGGAAGGCAATCAGTACCGATGCCGCTGCCCCCCGGACCTCTCCCGGAATGCGCTCTGATAAGAATGCCACGGCGAATGCAGTGGTGGTGACGAGGGCTTCCCAGGAGGCCCAGACATGCGAAAACAAAGGGAAGCGTAGCGGCATGGGTCCCCGTTCCTCTTCGGACCTCTCCCTCCGATGAATCCTCCCCCCCAGACCCCCGACGTCATGATTCGTTCGTAACGTCGGCCCCCAGAGGTCTCGACCCATTCCCTGGGGCTCGCTTCTCATCTTCGTTTGTTGACGGCCCCAGGGCCCGGCGAGGGCCCCAAGTGCCGAAAATTGCAAATGGCCTGGCGAAGGACCCCACCATATGCAGTTGTGAATACTGCAATTGTGAAAATCTTCTGCGGTGGCGTTCCCTATGGGGCCACGAACCGTATGAGGGGTGCGCCGAATTGCGTGGCGGGGTACACAACACGACCGAAGACGATGGGTCGAATTACGCGAGGCTGAGCGCGGGTGAGTCTGAACGCGGGTGAGTCTGAGTGTGAATGAATCTGCGTGCGGGCGAATAGGTTCTCATGAGCGCGAGCATGACCACGCCTGGTATATATAAAATGTGTATATAAGAATGTGAATTGTTCACGCATGCCTGACCCGAGCGTGGCCGCTACAGGAGGTTTTCCCTGAAACCCCGACAGCGGCGCCCGCGCGCCGCGACGCCCATGTCGACGCACTCCTCGCGAGGATCGCGCCCGCTTCCTTCCCTTCATTTTCCTACCTCTTTGCCCGCGCGCGCCCGCATCCAAGGCTGAAGGCGCGGCGCCGCGCGGACTCCCCGCGACGCGCGTCGGTCGCCTCGGAGGGGTCCTGGCGACGCGCGCGGGTCGTCCGCTGCGCGGAGCGGAAAGAGCCAGCTGGCTGGCTGGTAGCGGGCAAGGCCGTGGCCGCCGGGCAGACCGACGACGGGGGCGAGCGAGGCTTTGGGCTTAGATCGGGTGCGTCGAAGACCTCTCGCACCCCCCGGATTCCCCAAACAACTCAAACCGAATCTCGCCGAGAGAGAAAATCTCCAGCCAGATCTCAAACCAGCTCTTGCCGCGAGAATCTCCAAACGGATATCCGATAAAATATTCCGAGACACTTTGGGGCCCAAGCAAGAACTCAAACGAAATCTTGCCACCGATGTCCGATAAATCCCGAGCGGAATCTCAAACGACATCATGGCGCTGCCACATCCCAAACAACATCTTAAACGAACTCTCGCCTCTTGCCAATCCCCAACAAGATCTCAAACGAATGCTTGGGCGACCAGAAACTCAAACTCAATCTTCTCCAGAACCTGCTGGCCAAGCTTCGCGCCGCGCGCGGCGCGGTGGTAAGTGGTAAAGCGCAACTTCATGGTGGTCGAGTGCTTTGTCATCGGGGCAATGCTGATCGGAGCTGCGCGCGCCTGTGGAAGAAGTGCGCATTGCGGCGCGGATGGGCAATCCCCGCCCCTCGATCGAGCGACTGCTTCGGCCGCGATGCTGGGCGGCGAACCTGGAGATCGGCGCCGCGCCGCCCACCGACGGCCGAGTTCGCCAGGCGCACTTGCGCGCTTAGCGGCCACCGCGAGCACAGGCCTGCAGGTCACTACGTTGCGGGGCTCGCAACCGCCATTCCCTGGGCGAGCCGAATAAGGGCACCACTTCTGGCGCGCGCGAGCGAGAATCGCCTGCGCCCGCACATGACCCAATCGGATTGGCTTCGGCGGCGCATTTTGGGCGGGGGCGTCTCGGGGCGGGGGGGGGGGCAGCCCAATGCTCATAAGCATGCGCGTTATTTTTGGAACCAACTCTTGGTGGTAACAACCCTAGCGGACGTTGACAAAATTCCCCCCCCCCCCCTGGCTCCGGAGCGGTCCGGTGGCGTTTTTGTTTTGGGGGTGGTTGCAGTTGGGGCTGCGCGCGCGGTGACTTGCCATGGGCCCCTTCTTCGCCCTCCTGTTTAGCTTCCTCCTCTCTTCATACTGCTTACTCCCCTCCTCCAAAACCTCTGGCGTCTCCTCGGTGACGTCCGTGGGTGCCTCAACGCCGAAAGCCCCCGGTAAAGACTGCCCGAGTCCCTGAGGCTGTTCTCCTGCTGCTGCCCCAGCGGCTCCTGCTGCCCCCCCAGGGCCGGCGGTAATCCCATTTGCCCCTCCGGGGCAGTTAAGGGCGACGTGCCCTTTACCGCCGCACTTAAAGCGTGATCGCTCGCTGTGGGGCACAAGCCCTTGGCCTCATGTGCATCCTCCCTTAGCTCCTCCGTTGCCTCCTCCTGTGTGCCGCCCCTGGCAACCTCCATTGCCGCCTGTGCCTCCTCCTGCATTTCCCTGGTAACTTCTCTGACTTCCGCATCCTCCTTTGCCGCCCTGGCCGCCTGGGTAACCGTTGTAGTTGCTCTTGTAGTTGTACTGGTAACCTCCGTATTGGAATCCTTTACCGGTATGTCCTCCTCCGTTGGCCCCTCCCTGACTCTTACCTTTGGCAACTCCTCTGTTCGGGCAGTCGCGGCCGATGTAGCCTCGAGCTCGCAGATGGTCCAGCGTAAAGGTGTTCCACGGGGGCCGCCGTGAGGCCCCTCGCCGCCCATGGCGTGCTGCGACCTGCTAAACTGCGGCCTCCTTCGCGTGCTCGGGGGGTCGAGCGGGGGGCGCCCCCAGGGCGCCACCATGACGCATCGCCGTCCCTGGCGGGCAGCGGCTTCGAAACAGTCGCCAATGCCGCGGGCCCCTGGGAAGCCCAACGGGGGGCGCCCCACGTGCGCCAGCGAAGACCTCGCCGCCCTTGGGGCGCCGCTATCTGCGACAGCGCCGGCACTTACGTGGGCGCAGGAAAAAACTCAAACGAAATGGCCCCCTTCGGTGACCACCATGAGATGGTGCAGCCCCCTGGGGGGCAAGAGAGATGGGGGCGCGGGCGGGCGCGCGGCCGCGGGGCCCGCGGGCGGGCGGCGGCGCAAGCACCGCGGCCGCCGCGCCTGGGCGCCCCAGCAACCCCAATAAGCAAGAGAGGCACTAGCGGCGCTTTCTGCTTGTAGAACCCCCGTGGAAACGCGAGCTGGGCAGCGGCGCCCGCCTCTCGGGCAGCGCGTCTAAATCGAAGCGTTCGAGGCCTCGCCCGTCCTTCCAGCCCGCGGCTCGCGGCGCGACGGCCGCGCCAGGCCGCAAAAATTGCGGGCGGGGCCGCGGCGGCAGGGAGCCCCGCGGGCGCGCGCCGAGGGCGGCCGCCTCGACATCGGCGCTTCAGCGCGCGTGGGCGCGCGCGCTCGCTGCAACTGGCGGGCGCGCGCGCGCGTAAGAGCTGCGCGCGGCCATGGCGCGCGGAAGGGGCACCTCGCCAGGCCCGCGCTCCGCCGCGCGCTGCGACGCATTGGGCGACCCCCCCGCCTTTGCGCGCCGCGCCGCGGCGCGCGATCATGCGCGCATCTATCGCGGAGGCGTGGCGGCCGCGCGAAAACTTCTCGGCGATCTCAAGGGGCCTCGGCGGGCGCCCCTGCGCCGCGCCCCCCGCCGCCCCAGCCCAGGCAACCCAAACCTTCAAGGACCTCGCGGGCCGCGCTGCCCGTGGGGCGCGCCACCTGCGGAGCGCGCCGCCCGCGGAATGCGCCCGCCAGGCGCGGCCGCCCCGAGGGCCGCGCGGCGCCCGCCAGGCTGGCGAGGGCAAGGGCGCAAACCAGGGCACTTCGCCGACGCCAGCGCGAAACGTCATCGCGACGCTTTCGCGCGCGCGCGCCTGGGCGGGCGCCCGATCGCCCGCCTGGAACGCCCGGGGGGGCCCCGGGCATTCCCTGACCTTGAGGATTGAAAACGCTCGAATTAATTTCAGCCAATCTAATTAGGGAAACACTCTGATCCTATGTGAAACTTAGACACTCGAATTAAGGTGTCTAATTTTAAAATGCGTATTTACATAAACCGCGATGAGCAGCCCCAGTCGCCTCTCGTTGCAGAGGCAGGCCCCCGCACAAAGGGGGCTTGCGTCAGGGGCCAGGGTCCCTCTAGATTTCTGCCTTGAGAGGCGCTGTGGATCGGAGCAACACGAGCGAGGAATCGGGGCAGGAGAGATGGCAAGAGCCTGGCAGGGTGAGGGGCACTGCACGCGCTGCTTTGTTAACGGTGTGGGGAGGGAGTGTGCCTCTTACCATTGATTGAGGCCGTTCAATGCCTCAGGAGGAGTTCGCTGGCCCTCGCGCAAGCGGTTCCGCCGCCGCCCTTCCGACTAAAGAGAGGCAGGGGAGGTCAACACCTAATGGGGGTTACATCGAGCGCGCCACGAGGCGGGCCATGGGCCGGGTGCGAAAACGCTCGAGGGTCGCCCTAGAAAAGCCCCCCAGGGTCATCGATGACCCCCTCCTGCGCGCGAAAGCAGACGCGCTGCCCCCGTAGTCTTCGTCGCAATAGTTCCAATGCTTGGACGGCGAGCCACCTGAGTGGCGCAACTCCAAGAACTGATGCAGCTTCGGCCTGATCTTGAACGCGGCAGGGAGGGCCTGCGCCAATGCAGCAAACAACAAACAACATCGGGTGGAGGGCTCCTGTAACGCGACGTCTTGGACTGAGTGCTCAGCCTGCAGGATTCCATAGCAGTGGTTCAACGAACGCGCTGCGCGGATCATGGCGCTCTCAATCGGGTCGTTCGCGTCCAGGACTTCCACCGCCTCGTCCAAAGCAAGCGGGGCGAGCTCCCTACATATCCCTGCGCCGCACTTCAGCTTAGGATGCCCCTGTTTCTTCTTGATCGTGTCCCGCGTGAAGGCGTGCAGCCGATTCGGAACTTGTCGGCGGTCGCACCGCGCCGTGATCTTATCCCAAGGCAGATCGCACCGTTTCGCGAAGCTCCTAGCTGGCAACTTTCCTTGCGCATGTCACAACAGTGCGCCAATAAAATCTGCAGGGGCGCCTTGGTCTGCGGCGCGCAGCCAATCCAGGCGCAATGCGTCCAGGTTGACGAAATGGGGCCATAAACAAAAGGCGCGCTGCCTGACCATTCGCAAGGGTCGTCTGCAGCAGGTTCGACCACGAGCGTCTCTGAGTCCTCCAAAGCGCGCCCCTGCCGATCTGCGAGGGCACCTGAGGCAGGTCAACAAACAGGGGCTGGGGCAGGTGTGCGACCAACGCGACGAGGGCGGCGACTACGACCAGGACGACGACGACGACGACGACACGCGACGACGGCGACGACGACCACGACGACGGCGACGACGACGACGACGACGACGACGGCGGCGGCGGCGGCGGCGGCGGGGGAAGTCGAGGTTGGAGGAGGGACGGAGACGCAAAAGGCTAGGGAGTGGAGGGGGGGAGAGGGGGGCGGGGGTGCAATGGGGCAGGCGGGGAGGGGAGAGGGGGGGGAGGGGAGAGGGAATGGGAAAGGGGGTGGGCAAAGAGAACGGGGGAGAGGTGGGAAGGGGCGGCGCTGGCAAAGGGGCGGCGGCAGTGACATGAATGGGAGCGAAGAATGTAGTTTTGCAACGCGCTGGCTTCGTTTGGCTTGGTGTGGCACATGAAACAGCAACCTTGCGTATCGTGCCAGTCAGGTAGTTTCGTAATTTCTTTCCACATTTTCCGATCTCCTCTCAGCTGTGCCAAAATGGCGCTCGTCGGGTAGAGGGGTTGCGTCGCAGCATTTTTTCTCATGTGCAAATCGCTCTGTAGCAACGCGCAACCATCGCGTCTCCTGTCAGGCCACTCCTTACGAGCCATAAGAGCCAGCGGCCAGCGCATCACCTCGAATATATCATGGGACGTGTTCGGGTCCACGCGTGCGTTCAGCAGCGCAACCAAGGGGCATCTGAAATCGCGGTGCTCTCTGTCCAGGCCCGGTAAGAGCAATGACAAAATCTCGCAACTGATGCTCCGACCCCAATAACAAGGTACACCATCCTGCCAGAGGCCCACGCCAAGGGGCGCCTCCCCAAGCAGGGCACCTGCGTTCCGCACGTGTCGCGCCGTGACAGCGTCGAACCCACTTTGGTCTTGAATGACATTCATGTCGCCAAATAAAAACAAAGCTTGTCCACGACCTCGTGGGGGGGAGCACGTGGCACTTCATGGGCTGCTCGCGCCTGCGCTTGAGACGCCACCCTCGCACGGTGAATTCGTAAAGCGGTGGCCAGCCCCTGCCTTTCGCCATCCTCCGCCGCATGCGAGCCGCTGCGCTGCCAGGCCCCACTGCCTCCGAGCGAGCCCAGTCGCCCAGGTGAGAAGTCCCTGCTGCGTGTGCATCATTCACGATTTGCCGCCCTCGGTTCGTTGATATGGCGTTCCTGGAAACCAAGTCAGCCAGGTTCTCGCGCAGCCTCATGTCAGCTGGTGTGTTCTCGCGATCGCATGGCAGCCCTCGCTTCGGTAGCATCCCCAGCGAACAACCCAAGGGGGCGCTCGAGCCGAAACAGCTGCCATGCGGAA